GTCCTAAGTGTTAGTGTGAGGATTATTGATACCTTACTTTATCATCTATCAGTTGCTGGTGAGCGTGCTGGCTCTTTTTGCCCACCCTCTGCCACCCGGTAGTTTCTGGTTGTCTGCATCTTGACGTGCGATCCTCAACTGTGTGAGGATGGCCGTCCGATGGCCACAGATGAAGTCGGCAGGGCGGGACGAGTTGAGTTAACGAGTTTTGGGTGGGAAGCTGCGATCGGGCCTGTATTTGCACAACTCGCACTGCTGAGATGTAACCGCGAGGCGAGCGGATCTGCACGGGCATAAGACGGGTACAATAATGTACTGACAATGATATACTCGACCTATGCGAACCTAGGCTGAGGGACCTGGGGACGTGTATCACCCAAATGTGTCACCCTTCTACACTCACGTCGCGTGAATGTGAAGCAGCGAGTCACTGGCAGTGACCCGTGAGGTACGTGCCAAGATCCGCCCCCCATCCATCTACGTGACACGGAGGGGGTATTTCACGCGTACACTTCGGCACAACGAACAACTCATTCTAGTGCCTCACAATGAAGCTCCTCGTAGCATCATTCTGGTTCTTCTCGTGCGACCTTCAATATGTCAAGGCGAGGGTGAGTGGGTTCGGTCCTGTGAACGGAGATCCCAACGGCCGATTCTATTATCAACAGAAGGCTTATGTTGAGGCCATCTCTGTACCGAAGGCTTGGGGCATTCTGGACTCTCCGAAGAGAACACACGTAACCATCGCCGTCGTAGACTGTGGAATCGAGGCGAGTAATCCCGATTTGAAGGGCGTCGTCATCGAGGGCTACAACGTCGTTGATGATAATAATAATACCAGCCCTCGTGGATCACAATGTGATCATCACATGGTACCAACATCGCTGGCATCATTGGCGTATACTGCCCATACTTACGAGAGATTCGAGTTAGTTGCGACTCTCCGATCCACCACTTAGACTTCCCCGCCTTTGAGTCGAGAACTCGACTCACCCACCCTTGGCTGCAAAACCGAATCATTGAGCTACGATGTGTAACCTATAGATCTCAAGAATAGCAACGAAAGAGATATGGAAATAAGAGAGATCTAACCGAGTAGTTTAATGATACCTGCCTACGGGCGGCAGTGGGTGGGTTAAAAAATTTAAGAAGCATAGCAACGCTAACGACTGATAGAGAAAATATCAGACCATCTCGTCGCAGTCGACTAGTCATCCCTTCATTATCTTGTAGTCTTGACACAATTCGATTCCGGATGAGTCGCTCGTCACTTGAACTCCTAAGCATGTTTCCCATGCTTCTCCAATCCGCGAATGATGAGGATGGCGTTAAGGCTCTCGAATATCTCGTGCGTGAGACGAGAAGTGATGTTAAAGGGGTCTTGTTTACGGATGGGTTCACAGGACCCTGGTGAATCGCCGATTCGCCAATTACTTCAGATCGGAGGATAGCTAGCCGGTGTCTCAGTATAGAATTTTCGAGTTTTCGAATTGTCTCACG